CCGAAATCGCAAAATGTTTTCGGAGTAAAAAAAATATTCACTTTTGCTATACAAATCTTTTTTTACTTTTTATTCATTGTATAACTAATTTATCGTTTGCATGTATGCAGATATACTCAAGTACGGCACGCATGTACTTATTTATTTATGTGTATGTCCATAATTATAATGAGTATGCAGACCTGTCAATAATTTGACAAAAGCCAAATTAATTTTCGAATACCAATCACAAAATAAACATGCAGTGATTCATTTTCTCGTTGTCATACAGAAAGTCTCACCCTATTCAGTTATGCATAGCTGCTAACATAAAAGCAACCCCAAAACTGTAATAAAATAATGAAAATCTTTTTTCTTTTTTGTATTTATATTATTTTCTTATTTTTTCTATTTTTTAGTATTTTTTTGTATGGGTATTTGTAAACAATTGCTGAGTTAAGTTAACCTTTTTTCCAACTATGAGTTTGTGTTGGCCCTTATTTCCAAAGTGTTTATGACACTTAATGACAAATGCAGATGTTTTACGCTTAATTATAATACATACTTAAATGTGGGTGAGTGTAAATATTTGTGCTGTGACCGAATATGCTGTTCAAGCCTAGTGACTTGCGTTGAGCCATGTTTCTTTGAAAAGTTTAGGCAGAAGAAAAATATTGCTGATATATAGAAACTTCATTTTGATGCCAAATATAAATTTAGACTTTTATTATGAAAATTCGGAGTAATTTTGAAATTCATATTTTAAACAGGATTAGTTTCAAGCGTAAACAAGCTTTTAAAGCAGTTTCAGAGTGACTCCGAAAATTCGGAGAACTCTTGGCGCTTACTCGTTTGTGAAAAATATTAAAAGATATTAGTTTTAGGCATAAATAAGTTGCTTATGTAGTTTCGGAGTAGCTCCGAAAATTGAAAGTACTTTCGGAGGTCATTCTTTTATGAAAAATATTATATGTAATGTAATTATGGAGTAACTTCGATAATTCAGAGAGCTTTTTATTCTTAATAAAATTGTGTTTCAAAGTTATTCCGAAAATTCGGACTACTCTCGGAGCTCACTCTTTTGTAAAGAATATTAAAAATAATTAGATAAGCATAAAAAATCTGTTGTCATAGCTTCAGAGCACTGTTGGCGTCTATTGCTTTAGGAAAACATTTAAAAAAAGGAATTTTTTGAAATTTCGGAAATTTGCTTTTTAATTTCACTCCTTAAAACTATTTGAAAAATTTAAACCTCTGCAAGTGTGACGATAATTAAGTTTATTATTTTACTACTCAGACTTCACACCTAATTTACTTAATACAATTTTTTTGCTTTGCCCCTCCCCCCTTTCACCTCTCCCCAGCACTTAATGACATTTGTCATCAGCAAAGTATATTTTCTATATTTTATTTTACTTTCTATAATATTGTACGTGATTTTTTCCACTCATTCTCATTCTGGCTCGCCGAGCTCGAGTTCGTATTCCTCTTTATTTCCTTAGTGCGTACAACAGCTGTGCAATTTCAATTTACTTGTAGTGTGTAGGACACGTATTAAATATAGTAAGGTAAGCAGGAATAGAGCACGTAGCAAACTTCCAGGCGCATGTACTTCATAATATCCATCTAACCACTCATCTTCGCAGCGCATTTTGTTAGTTAGAAAATTTCGATTGAGATATACTGATGTACACATTGAGAGCAAGCAAAAAAAAAAAACAAAGACTCAAAGGACAAAATAGTTGAATACACATGGAAAGGAAAAAGTGAGAATTGCGTACTAAGTGAAAAAAAATAAATTAGTTCTTGAGGTGAGGAAATAAATTGAAACCGAAAAAATGTTGTACTCGTTAGTACATATATAAAATGAAATTGAAATATTTGATTAAAGGAAAGATAGGAATTTTTATTATTTTCTATTTTTTGTCAGTTTTGAAGGATAAAATTGAGTTGTTGTTGTTAAAGAAATTGGGTTGATTATAATACTCCATATTTCAAAAAGTTAATATTTTTATTAAAAAAATTATCAAATAACAATTAAATGCATGAAAAGCATCTTTAAACATAATTCCGTCAACTATTCCTACAGTTCGGTAAATCACCTGCGAGATAAAGCGAATCATTTTGAACAGCAAAAGAGCTGTAGAGGGCATTTAACTCAAAGATATGGAATAGCAATAAGGGTTTTCTGCAAAACCAGCAACCAGCAAACTTTTTTTTCGAATAAATAAAGCATTGGAATGACTCTGTTGTAAAAAGAATAATCTCATGAGCAGGAAAAAAAACTTGATCTCTCACAAGTCTATAAAAACTTGCACGAATGGGATCAAATGGCTTGTATTCACAAATTAGGACATTTTTAAGGTACTCGTATATAAATTCCTGGAGGCCCTTCCAGCATTTTGGAGTCGCTTTCGTTGGTAGTTTTTGTCGTTTGGCAGAAACTAAACAAAGTGAATTAAAGAAATTCAAAAGGGCATCCAATTGGAAAATTGAAAAATTTGCGGACAAGTTTACTGTTATCTTAATGCACTTAATTCGGCCTTTGTGTACTGATTCTCACATATTGGCAATAAATCCCAATCACTTATTTATTATTAATTTTTTTTATTTGGCAATATTTTTTTTAAGGCAAGAAAAAAAATTACAATGCCATTAAAGGATTGAAATGAATTTAATCATAAATGTTTGTTTTTTTATTTTGTTTTAATTTTTTTTTAATACCAGCTTTAGTTTTTTTTAACTCAAAATATAATTTAATCCTGGAAAAAATATTTTTTAGTTTAATACCTTTTTTTGTTTAGCTGTCAGAAGAAAGACCGTACTTTAAAATAAATAATTATATTCATTTCACTTTATTTTATTTTAAATTCTTATTTTAAATTTCATCGCTTTCATTTTATTTTCTTATTAGCATTTTATTGTACTTTAGTTTTTCTTTTTATTATTATATTTTGGCTTAAATAATTAATAATTTCATTAATTTTGGCTTATTTTAATTAAATTTGGTTAATTTTATATAATCTACTTTAATTTATTTAGATTTAATTTAATTGATTTAATTTTATTTGCCTGATTTTATTTACTTCAATTTGATTGGGGTTAACTTAATTTAGTTTATTTTTATATTTCATTTATTTTTATTTTACCTTATTTTGTTCATCCTTTTATCTTATTTTATTTTACTTAATTTTTCTTTACTTCGTCTTATTTCGTTTTTTTTTTTAACTTTTTTACATTAATTCGTTTTTTTTTTTTAATTTAATTAAATTAACTAGATTTTAGTTATTTGATTTAATCAATTTAATTTTTTTTTTCAATTTAATTGAGTTTAACTAAATTTAAATAAATGCAAATTTATTCAATTTTATTTATTTTAATTTAGTTTTATTTTGGTAATTCATTTATCTTTTTTAATTAATTTATCTTTTTATTTCTTTAAAATATTTTATTTTGTTTTCGCTAATTTAATTTTATTTAGTTTAATTTCATTTAACTTATATTTAATATACATAATTTAATTTTATATATTGAATTTTACTTAATCAGTTTAATTTAATTTAATCTAGTTTTATTTTACCCTTTTATCGTGTTTTACTACCTTTTTTATTTTGTCTTATTTCATATTTTTTTAATATTATTTTATTTTATTTTGTTTAATTTAATTAAATTAATTAGCTTAAAGTTATTCGATTTAATCGATTTAATTTATTTCTATAAATTTGAGTATAACTTAATCTAAATTTATTTAGCTTTATTCAATTTTATTTAATTAAATTAAATTTCATTTTGTTCATTTATACATCCTATTTTGTATTTTTAATTTTTTTATTCCTTTTAAATATTTCATTTTGTTTTCTTTATTTTATTTGCTTTAATTTAATTTAACTTATAAATAATATGTTTAATTAAATTTTATTTATTTAGTCAGTTTAATTTAATTAAATCTTTTTTATTTTGTTCATCGTTTTATCGTATTTTATTTTACTTTTTTATTTTGTCTAAATTCATTTTGACTTATTTTTTTACTATATTTCACTCTTCTGTTTTTTTTAGTATATTTTGATTTCTTTTATTTCATTTTAATTAATTTAGTTTTATTTAGCTTACTTGTTTTGTTTACCTTCATTTAATTTAATTGTTTGCTGCCATACTATTAATTTTTGTTATAAGTAATAAGTAAACTGAAGGCCTGTTTAATTAGGATATAATATATTTGATTTATTTTTATATATAGTTAATTTAAGGAATTTAATTTAATTTAATTGAGTTTAATTTAATTTAATTTATTTTTATTTTTTTATATAATTTTAATTATTTTTTTCATAAGACTTTATTTAATATTATCTTAGTTAATTAAATTTAATATTATTTATTATGACCCCATATTAATTTTTTTGTATTATAATACTTTAATGAGCTTTATTTTGTTAGATAGAGGACGTTTAGAGGAAGCAAAAAACTTTGATTTTTTTTTAAATTTTAACAAATTGATAAAAGTATTTTTCTGTTGTGGTAAAAAAGCTTTCAAAATTTTTCTCTTTGAATTTTATTTCATTATAAAAAAAAAACTATTCAAAATTGTAAAGGTTATGTCATTTAATTTTTTCAATTAATTCTTTCCTGTTTGATACAAACATATTAATTTGAATATAATTCACTTTATAGTTTTAAAATTTCTAATTTCATAAAAAAAATATTTAATAAATATTATGGAATTTCACTTTAATTTTAACAGAAACATTACAAATACAAGATACAAGATAATTAATGTTAAAAACTGTAAGTTTATGTCTTAAATACTATTTTTCTTATTTCAATTTTGCCTTAATATCTTTATTGCCATTTTTAGTTGCTTTGTTCAAAATATTTTATAAAAATATACTCGTATTAATAGTTATTTAATTGAATTTTTTTTAAATAATTATAATATATAAAAAATGTTACTTTTTTAACATCTTATTTTTTGAGAACTTAAATAAAAACAATTAATAAATAAAAAAATTTGCTTTTGTACTCACAATAAAGAACAGAGATTTCAGCGACATCATTTTTCGGGTTGTCAAACTTTTTTTTTTTTTTTGAAAAACACAAAATTTCCACTGGAACAATTGAGAACACTGCCGTAAGCACAGAAATGAGTTTCTCACAGTATTTGAAGTATTTAAGTTAAATATCCTTGTTGTATTTATATCCTCTGCTGGGCACAGCTGATGAGTTATTACTCAGTTCTGCACTACACTTGTACGAATTTCTTACAACACAAATAACTGTGGCTCCTCAAAATATTTGAATTTGTTTTTCGTTATATATAAATATGTCTTAAAACGAAATATGTTTGTTTTTTATTAATTGATTAAAAAACTTTTTTTCTTTGAACTTCAACGATTTTAATTTTTCTCGCCAACTTTTCTACCTCCACACCGAGTTTGCTTGTGCATTGAGTCTTTTGTTTTGCGGATAAACTGCTACTTTTTAGTACATACGATCGCTATGAATTAGGGTTCCACATGACGATGCAACGCTATTTATAACGGCAAACACCGACCGCCACGCAAAGCAGCCAGCCCGTGGCTGAGGCTGAGGCAGGAGAAGCAGCGCAGCAGCAGCGACGACTGGCAGATGAGCGCGGTAGAGTCTATGCATCGAATTGAACATGCAAAAAAAAAATATCAGCAATGTGTTAGTCTAGTTGTTGTTCGAAGCGGGTGCTCGTGCGCGTTGCCAACTAACTGACAGTTGAATAATAATGTACATACGTTAGAGAATTTGTTCCATCCAACAACAAAACAGAACAATAGCAACAACCGCTGAGTTAACAGTGACTGATGATGAGACGACGACGATGACGACGTCGACGGCGACGACGATTTGTCGACGCGGCGATTCACTCATCTTCATACTGAGCAGCGCGATCGAGCAACAATTGTAGCGCAAAAATAGTGAGCAACAGCAACAACAACCACCACTTGGCTATAACAATAAGCAGAGCAACGATAAAAGTTACAAAAAAATAAAAATAAAAATAAAAATAAAAACAATTTCTGTTGAGCATCTCAGCAGTAAAAATAAATGAAATGAAAATAATTGAAGTTAAGTTGCTTGAAAAACTAGCAAACAACAACAACGCAGGCAATGAAATAGCGCCAAACAGCTGCAAACAAAAATAAAATGAAAGCAACAACAATAACAACAGTAACTGTAACGAAGCGCCAGCAAGTAGTAGCCAAGCTCCAAACAACGAGCCTGAACACAATGACAGTATAACAATGCTAGCTAAATATAACGAAAACAGCAACAACAACAGCTGGCATCCAAGTAGGAGCTGTTTGAGGCATCTCACCATTAAATATTCATATAGGTGCGCTCTTCTTTACCGTATGCTTCAACGCCAGGCAGCGAAACAATTGAAGTTAGCGACGGCAGCGGCGTCGACAGCGATTGTGAGCAGCATAATAGAGCTCATAGTCGTGGTGTGGTGAGCGTTAAAGCACCGTTCGTTTTTCAAATATGTGTGCTGTGTATGCGTATACATGCACTGGGGTAGGTGTACTTACAAGTACACATACTCGTACATACACACATACATACATTCATACAAATGCTGCAAAACTTAAAGCCAGATTGATCTTCTAGATCAGTGTTGAATGTGAGCGTGCAAACAAAAAAGAAAAATTAAACTAAAAAAATAAATCGAAGAAACTATAAAAAATAGCTGCTCAGGTTGGCAAACACACCTACAACAACAAAAAAAATTGAGAACTTTTAGAAAAAAAATCAAAATTAATTCACTAACAATAGCAAACATTGCACAGATTCTACTCAATCACTTTTTTGAGCGGAAACGCTAACAATAACAACAAAAATAATAGGAAAAAATAACAGCAACAATACACTGGAGCTTTTTATATTCCTATAGAATTTGCATTAAAGGCAAATGTGCTGAAGATCACATCGCTGGTGCTCCAAAACAATACCAGTGTTGCCAACTACAACTGATGGTGTAATAGTTATTGCAAAGTTAAAGAAATACATGTACATATGCACACATTCATGCTTGTAATTTAGTTACATAAATATTTTTGTATATTCTGCCTTAGCATGCTTTGCACTCTCAAAGACATTCTATTTAATGAAAAATATTCTTATTAAAAATCCAATATGTTCTTAATTTTTTATTCGCTCTGTGCTTTGAATCACTCATTATAGCACTCATGAGTTACTCTTACTCTCACGGGAATGCCAATAATTGGAAAATGTTTTTAATAAGCTCTACTTGATAGCCAAGTACGGTGCTGGTCCTTGAAGGCTACTTTTAGAATACATTTTTTTATTTGGTCACAAATAGTTTAAAATATTTTTAAGTTATTATATATACTTTTTATTATATTGGTTAATTACAAAATAGAATAAAAGAAACTAAATTAAATAAAATAGAATAAAATAATATTTATAAAATAATATTAAATTAACTAAAATAAAGTAAACTACAATAAAATTAAATTAATAAAAAAAAATAAATAAAATTAAATAAAATAAAATCAAATCAAATAAAATAATATAAAATGAAAAAAAGAAAATAAAAGAAAATGGAATATTTTAAAAAACAAGACAACATAAAAAACGTAAATAAACTTAAATAATTAAATTAAGTAAAGTAAAACAAAATAATGTAAAATAAAATAAGATGAAATAAAAAAAATCAAATAAAATAAAATAAAATGAAAAAAGAAAGAAAGGAAAACGGAATAAAATAAAACAACATAAAAAGTAAGTAACATAAAATTAAATAAAATAAATGAAATAATATAAAGAATAATAACATACAACAAATTAAAATAAAATGAAATTAAAATATAATAAAATAAACTAAACTAAAGAAAAATGAATAAACTAACATAAAATAAAATAAAATAAAATAAAATAAAATAAAATAAAATAAAATAAAATAAAATAAAATAAAATGAAAAAAGAAGAGAAAGGAAAATGTAATAACGTAAAATAACATAGAACAGAATAAAATAAAGTAAAATAAAAAATATAAAAAAATGTTAAATGAAACTAAATAAAATAAAATAAAATTAAACCAAATTAAATAAAATACAATAAAATAAAATAAATAAAATAATGTAAAATATAAGAAAAATAAAATAAGAGGAATTAAAATAAAATAAAAAAAATTAAAAAAATAAAAATTATAAAATAAAGAATTAAAAAAAATAAAATAAAATAAAATTCAAAAAAAAAATAAAATAAATAAAATAATATAAGGTAAAAAGGAAAAGAAAATAAAACAAAATTAAATTAAGTTAAATAAAAGAAAAATAAAATAAGAGGATATAAAATAAAATAAAACAAAATGAAATAAAAAACATAAAGTAAAATTAAAAAAATTAAAAATTTAAAATAAAATGAAACAAAATAGAATAAAATAAATAAAATAATATAAGGTAAAAAAGGAAAAGAAAATAAAATAAAATAAACTTAAGTAAAATTAATTAAAAATAAAATGTAAAAAATAATGTTTTGATACAGATAGATAAAATAACTTATATAAAATCTTTTCAGTGTTTTTTTTTGTATATATGAATATTATCAATTGCATTTTTCATTTGTCCTTGCCTGTAACATAAGTAAGCCGATAACGATTTTTATTAATTCAATGCAACAAGTGTATTCATATATACCTACATAAATACATATAGTAGAGTTAGCTTGCGTTATAATAAAAAAAATAGTTTTAGTGAATGAAATTACTTTGGCGATCATTTATTAATACCAAAAAAAAGAGATCTTTAAACAAGTCATTGTCATTATCACCTACATAACACCACTTGCCCAGCGCACATACTATACAATGACCCTTCCGCAATCGACACACACAACGAATTAAAGAGCGAATGCTGACAAATGAATTGTGCTTAATCGCCGTCAAATTGTTGCAACTAAATACTGCCGTGATGTATTCGTATGTGTCATTACGTTATAGGTATTTTCAAATATATATATATATTATTTTAAGCGCTATTAGTACTAAGTATATATGTATGTAATTATAATGTATTTTATAAGGAATTAAGTAGATGCTTGCATGTATTCACATACGTATATGTATATATTATCTAACATATGTATGTATATGCAATTATTATATATTTACCGGAATCCCAACGATGCGATCTGCGCATGCGCACTTATTTATACATAATTTGCTGCTGATGTTGCTTTTGTTGTTATTGTAATAGTGGGTTGTGCTGTTTAGGTTTTTTTTTTGCTTCGCTTATTGCATTGATTTTGCATGTTGTCACCTTGTTGTTGCTATTGTAGTTAGATGTTATTGCGTATTGTTGTTGTTGTTATTATTCTTACAGCGCCTCTTGACGGCGGACGAATTGCATTTTTTTTATTGCTGTCGCTGACGTTGTCCGCTTTTATTGTTTTTGCTATTGCTTTTGCCTTTCCCAGCAATATTCGTACTCGTATGTTGATCGTGACTTCGCGTCGGTTCCGATGGCAATAGCAATAACAGCAAGAGCTTCAGGTTTGCGGCGGTTTAATGATAATGCGGAGGCTGTTGATAATTAAGATGATGTGATGTGAGAAATATTGGTAACGGTATATTGGTAATGGTGTAAATTAGTAAAAATTAAGCAAAAAAAAAAATAAAATAAATGAAATAAAAAATAAAAAACTAATAAATTTCACAAAAAGTGGCAGTTTATTTATTAGAGGTGAAATATGACGAAATTAATTAATGCTTTTTTGTTCAGTCATCTCGAGCTCGAAACTTTATCTTTGACAGATTTACATATGTACATATATTGACAAGAATTTGCATATGAGTTCCGAAATGGAGCAAGAATTTAGGAGTGTCTTTATGCTCAACATTTTTTTTGCGAGGTGCTTGACGTTAGATTGGACAGATGGAAGAAGAATTTAGTGTTTTCTATTATTTAAATAAGCTCCGATCGATTCCAAGCGAATTAACATTCTATAGCATATTTCACATTTACAATTCAAAACATGCCCAGATTATTCTGGCCTCTCTGAAATTGATGAACTGAACTGTTATACGAAAAAGGAAGTACATCTCGCAGAAGGTGAAAAGTTTAGATAAGTGCTCCGTCTTCACTCAGGATCGGTTTCCGAAGAGAATGTTCCATTTTAGTAAATTAAAAGGAGACCCAGCTATGTTGAAGTTCTAAAACTTATTGCTCGCCGAAAATCAGATGTTTCAGACATGGTGACTCTCTATCGTCTGATTACTTCAAACAAATGCTTGAGAGAATTATAAGAGCTGCAAAACTAACTACAGAAGGAAAGTGTTCTTTAAGAGAGTACAGTACGCCATTGACATTTTTGCCCTCAATAACTGCGCCGTGAGTTCTGCTTTCTCCAGTGGGGGAAAGGAAGCGAAGGATGTGGGTCTGGTAGTGAACGAGAACAATACGAAATATCTCCTGTCATCACACAAATAGTCATCGCTT